ACGATTGGCCCGGCCCAGCCTGGCCCGATTAAAACCCTGGCCTCTGCTCACAGCCTAGAAGTGCAATGCGCTATCCATTACACCACAGAGCCTGAGTGCTCTCCTGCCTCTAGCACTGTTGCACAGAAAGCACTTTTTGGTACTCTCTGGCCCATAAAAGCACAGCTCACTGCAGACAAGGACTAATTGTTTAATGGAAAAAAAAAAAAAAACTAACAACGGTAGCACTGCATGTTTGAATGTCTCGACTTGAAATACTAAAGTCCAATTGGTTACGCATTACCATACCATGCTATATAATGCCATTGTCCAAAACCCTCTTAAGCAAGCATCGTTCTTAAGGATTTGAGTTTTGTTTAGAAACAGACTGCTAAACAGCATAAACACTCGTAACTCTTAAGAAGAAGCAACCCTGGCTCCTGTACATTAGTCACTGCTGAGATATGAAACCAGAATCTCCTGTTTACTAGACAGGCGCTTTGACCAACTAAGCCACAGCACCAATGCTGATAAGAGTGCAAGACGTTTTTGCACAAAGGGACTAAAAAAAGACAGCAAGTCTTAAAATAGCAACCAAAGAAGGTTGTTTAACTCAATTTGTTGCACTATCCATTACGCCTAAAAGCTATACAATTTTATAATTCATTTCGTTAAGCTCTATAAAACAAGCACATGCACCAACTGGACTGATAATTGAGCCCAGAATCTCCTGTTTACAAGACAGGCTCTTTGACCAGCTAAGCCACAGCGCCACAAAAAAAAATTTATTGTAGGAATTATTTGCATGATAACAAAAATTGAAGAAAAAAACAATACACAAAAAAAAAAACCAACATGTCAGGATGCAGAAAATGCTGACAAGACGGACGTGGTCTTTTAGAGTCTGGATGATCATGTCTCAAACCTGACCGCTAACCTGGCCTCTGTTCAAGATCAAAGCAAAAAATGAATTTATTTTTATTTAATCTATCCTAAATCATGTGTAAAGTGTTTTAGTAACCTCCAGTTCAATTACATCCAAACCCAGAGTCAGCTCGGAAAATGGAAATCAGGACAAACATATGCTATCGGCCATTGAAAGAGCTTCAGATCAGAAAGCCACTCTCCCATAATCTGAGGGAAAGGTGCAGTTTGGATTTGGACAGGTGCTCTGGCCAACTTAGTCTTAACACTAAAAGAAAAAACATCTGGATACGATACTTCCAAACGCAGTTTCATCTAAGACAGTGGGGGAAAGCAAAATTTACTGTGCTTTCTACTCAGTGACTTTGCTCATGCATAAAGAGGCTCTTGTCCGACAAATCCAAAAAAAAAAAAGCAAAAAGCTTGATCTAAACAATTGGTGGTAGACACTTTTGCCCAAAACCACAGGTTGCCTTTGAGTCATTGCTCTAGCTCACTCGGCCCTGCACCGTTTTCTAATCTCCCTCATTTAAAACAGCTCAATTGAGTCATCAGCTTCATTGTAGAGTACCCCTAGTATCTGAGCCTGCACTGAGCAATGAAAGAAAGAAGCAAAACGGGATGGACAGATGCATAAAATGATGGAAACGCACCACACCTTAAGTCAGTGAAGACAAATGGCAAAACTTGCAACTCTGGTTGGACGGGAACCCACAACCTTTGAATGACTCAGCTCACAGCCTAGAAGTCCAACGTACTATTGATGGCGCCAGAGAGCTTGAGCGCTATGCTACCTCCAGCACTGTTCCACAGAAAGCACTTTTTGGTACTCTCTGGCCCATAAAAGTTAATCTCGCTATAGACTAGGCACTGCTGGGATTCAAACCCAGAAACTCCTGTTTATTAGATAGGCACTTTAACCAACTAGACCACAGCATCAGACAGGGGCTAAGTGTTCAATCAAAAAAAGAACAAAAAAAAAAAAACTTACAGCGGTAGCGCTGCATGTGTGAATGTCTTGACTTGAAATATTAAAGTCCAATTGGTTAGGCATTACCACACTATGCTATATAAAGGCATCGTCCAAAGCCCTCTTGAACGAGCAGCGTTCTTAAGGATTTGAGTTTTTTAAGAAACACACTGCTAAATAAACACTTGTTAATCTTAAGAAGAAGCAACTATGGCAACTGTACATTAGGCACGGCTAGGATTTGAACCCAGGATCTCCTGTTTACTAGATAGGCGCTGTGACCAACTAAGCCACAGCGCCAATAGTAAAAAGAGGGCAAGTCGTTTTGCACAAAGAGACTAAAAAAAAGACAGCAAGTCTTAAAATAGCAACCAAAGAGGTTGCTATTTATTGATTAGCAAACCATGTTATGCCATACCTGTCAACACTGGGATGTAAAAATATGGGACAACAATTAGCTTTAAAAAGAAGACAGCAAACATTAGAAAATATTAACAATAACATAAAATATTTTGCCTATTAAAATCAATGGCCTATACAGAAAATAAATCCCATTATAAAATCCCATATAAAATCCTATTCATTTTTTACTGTATTTAAATACTGATTAGCATTACTACAGTTATTTAGTGAAAAAAAATGTGTTTAAAATAATACAAGCAGAACAAACATGTTTTACATATTAAATGTATGTGTCTGTTTAAACACACCTAAATCTACAAAGTATGCTAAACTTTCGCTCCTCTTTAAATTGCGTGTACAGAAGCGGATCTGGGAACAGTATATCATACAGAGCACGTCCAGTAGTCAGACTGCATGCATACACTGATTCAGGGGTTGCGTCGATCGACGCACAGCTTTAACGGGAAAAAAGTGAATGCAGACATTTTTATCAACGTGCTTTCAAGCCAAAATAAAGCGAAAGCACAATTCTCTTGCACAGCTCTTGCAATTATAACACATTTGAAATCGGCTTTGTTTTGACGGTACTTTCACTATTCATAGAAAGTTTAAACATACGGGGCAACTACAGGGAAATACTTAAACGTGATGATAGCGGGGAAAACCGGAGAGTTGACAAGTATGTGTCAAGCTAATTAATGCCGTCATCAATCACGGATACAGTAAAATAATCATCTTTGTTGTAACATTACCTCTGTCTTTGTCGCGTTTTTCCTCCTCTTCTTTTCTTTTTTTTTGCCTCCCCTGCGCACTAGACTGTTTGGGACGTTTTGACATATTGAGCATGTTGACCCATCGAAAAAAATGAACACCGTAGTAGTTAAAGTCTAATTATTTGGAGGGGGGCGTCTTAGGCGAGTAGGTTTGATTATTATTATACTACTACTACTTAGTAGGCCATGCACTATGCAGTTAAATTAATGTGGGCTTATTCTTTTCTGAAGTCATACCAACTAGTTTTTGGCATAGTGGAAGTTACTTTTTTTTTCTTCCCCCATTTCTGGCGCCCCCCTGGACGTACTGCGCCTGTAGCAATTGCCTATACTGCCTATGCCACGGGTCGACCCTGCTGTGATTGATAATGTGACATTAGAATTTAACAACTCTTAAAGCCAAATTGCTTAATTTGTGAACTTTTTGTACTTGGGGTTTAGTTGCACTGAAAAATCATCTTATGTCTATTTTCTCTGTCATTTTATCCAATACATTAAACTGCCAGGCAAGTTTATTTATACTGTAGCACATTTTATACACAATAGTAATTCAAAGTGCTTTACATAAAGAATGCAAAACTATCCTAAAATAATCACAACAATAAAAACAAAGAATTAAAAAAATGTTTTAATTTTTTCACATTTTAATTTTAAATTAATTGAGTTACTTAACAACAGAATAGAAATTGATTATACAAAAATACAGTGGGGTTAGTTTGGACGTAGCACAGTGTTCATGAGGCAAATGCACCGCTAGACAAAATGCTTATTGCGGTCCTTAATGTAAAGTTAACATTATGCCAAGTGGTCACAAATGAAACAATGCATGGGAAACGGCTTTATCGTTCGCAACAAGCTAATGTTAACTAGACAAGTAATTTGAAGTAGCTAATAATTATATATAATAATAATAATTATACCTAATACTTAATAACTAAGTAACTAATACAGCAGATTGACACCCGTGCTTTTAATATGATTTTCCTATTTAGAGTTTGCAAATAACACTTTTTATGAAATTATGTTATTAAGGGGAAAGTCCGAATGTGCGAATATAAAACCAAATTTACTTCTATAAAAACATGGGAGAAATGTATCAATAAGTCATGACGACTGCAACAGTAAGTGGAAAAAAATTGTTAAGAAAAAAGACTTTTATTTTGGCATGGCATGTGACGTCATCAGGCGGCGCCACTACAGCGCGGTGATTCAACTGGAGAAAGGTTTGTTTTAAAAGTTTTACAGATATAAACCGATTTAAAGTTAAAGTACTAAAGTTTTAGTTTTTTATATGATGTTAAATTATGTTCCTGCTTTTGAAAATATGTTAACATTTTATACAACGTAGTATTATTTTATTCTCAGTAATCTGTTGTTTGAATAAAGTAACAGAAAAGTGTATAATAAGTGTTTTAATGAAACATTTTACCCGATTTCTTTTTGTTAATTAAAAGCAGTGCACAATTCTGCCCCGGCCTATGTCAGTGAAGTGAACTTATTAGACTTTATTCAGCTTGTAGACCGTCAAGATCCCATGACCAGTTTTTGTCTGTCTCGGTCTCGCTTTTTTTTTTTGTCTGTCTCTTGGTCTTGCTGCAAATCAAAAGGTGATAGAGGTTTCTGTGTTGCGACCTCAAGGCTCTGGAACAGTCTTTCTCTGAATATCGGGATTGCTACATCATTGGATGCTTTTAAATCTAACTTAAAGACTTATTTTTACTTCTTTCCTTTGAGTGACAAATGCATGTTATTTTTTATTTGTATTTTAGTATTACTTTTAAACATACATTTTTCTGTATTTTAAATACTAGTTTTTTTATTCTATTGTGTAGTTTATTTTATTGTAAAGTATTTTGGATCAACCACGGTTGTGTAAAATTGTGCTCTATAAATAAAGTTTGCCTTGCCTAGAGTGGCAAAAAAGCTAAACAAAAGACTTTTATTTTGGCGTGACGTGACGTCATCAGGCGGCGCCGCTACAGCGCGGTGATTCAACTGGAGAAAGGTTTGCTTTAAAAGTTTTACAGATATAACCCGATTTAAAGTTAAGTACTAAAGTTTTAGGATTGTTTATACGATGCAAAATCATGTTCTTGCTGTTGGAAATATTATTTTAACCCTTTATACAACGTAGTACTATTTTATTCTCAGTAATCGAGGGCTATTGTTTGAATAAAGTAACAGAAAAGTGTGTAATACGTGCTTTAATGAAACGTTTTACCTGATTTATTTTTGTTGTAGCAACAGTAAAGTGTGTAATGAGTGTTTTAGTGAAGGTTTAATTTAATAAACAGCATGATGTCAATCTATTCTAAGTATACATCACTATATATAAGATATGGAGTACTAGGTTTCATCAGCTCATTTTTGGCTATAGTTACCTGATTTATTTTTGTTAATTACTCTCATATAAAGAAACTGTTGAAGCAAGTGTTGAAGAGAAGTTATTTTATTTCTGTTCATTGTTTTATAAATTTTAAACAGGACATTTTTATTGTTTTGTTCATTTTAAACAGGATAAAGTGTCCAAACACAGAGAAAAACTCCTGCTGAAGCGACTGATCTCCACACTGTTATAAAGATGGCGTTTATTAAAGAGGAGAGTGAAGATGTGAAGATTAAAGAAACATTCACAGTCAAACAGGAAGATCTGCAGGAACAAACAGGTTGGTTTTCATTCTCAAAGACCAACTCAGTCATTTGATCCTCATTCAGATATATTTTAATAAGAAGAATACTAAATTAAATCTATCTTGCAGACCTGAGTGTGCTGCCTAGTTCTTCTAAATGCACATAAGCACTCATTGAAAGACAGAATGAGTTTCTTTCTTGTTACTTGTTCTCATGTCTTTTGTCATTATTTTATGTATTATTAGTCTCCCATTTTCTGTACCTTCTTAAGGTTATTGCTTTTCTTGTTCTCCTACTGTTTGTGAAGCGTCCTTGAGCACCGGCGCTTTATGAAATAAATTTAAAAAGTTTAACTGAGCTGACGATATTTGACCTAGAGTATTCTCATAGAAAAAAAATCTGCTATTACAGTGATGGTGTTGACTTAGTACTTTCCATTTGCATACGTCACGATGATCACAATTCCCCTATTTTCATCAACTTCTTTATGAGTTTAAACTTGTTTCTAGTAGTTGTTACTAGTTCTCACAGATAATATCTGAGTTAGAAGTACATCATTATTACAATAACTAATTACCAGGGCTATTGTGTTTAAACAGGGTTTCCGCTGCGTCATAAAATGTCTTAAGATCCAAAATCAAACAAAAAATTTAAAATCTTTAGCTAGAAATATCTAAAATACATATAAAAAATAATTTATTTATTTATTATTGTTTATATATATATATATATATATATATATATATATATATATATATATATATATATATATATATAATTTATAATTTTTTTCATTTATTTTTTTATTTTTTTAATGGGGCAAATGAAATCTTTTCCATCTAGACCATTGGAAAAATTCTTTAGCTTTATCCCTTTATGGGTCTAAAATTTCATTCATAATGGTCTTAAAAATGTCATAAAAAGAAACCTCCAGAAACCCTGGTTTACAGTTTGTCAAATGATGTGGATGCCCCCAATATTAAATATGCTGAATGAAATGGACACTACAATAATTGTTATAAAACATTGTACAGTATTCTAAGCTATAAGATGTTGCTGTGGGATGACGTGAGACAAAACAAACTAAATATAGAGGAACAATAACGTTTAGCATTGCACTGACTACAACTGGCCAACAAACTAGTCTAAAAATGACATTTTCTGCTTAAGAAATGGATTACAGCATGCTGATGATATGCAAACATTAGAGTGTGAAGTTCGTCAGTATTGACCAAATTCTTCAATTACCAGCAGTTGTCGCCATTGGAATCTTTTTGCTTGAGACTTTTTCTTAAAGAATTTATTTTTAGATCCTTAAAACAGGTTTATTCTGCTTAGGTATGGAACGATAACCGTTTTCAAGTTATACCACAGTACAACAGTATATGTAAGGTTTTTCTTTTTACATTTTGTTATAAGTTTTTCAAGACAACAGTATCTCCAGCAAAAAAGATATCCAAATATGCCATTTTAAATTGTAAAGAAATCTGTGTTTTTGAAACGAATGATTCATTTGAATGATTCAGCCTGATATGTTTACTGCTCCATAATACTTTCTCCCCCGGTTTCACAAACAAGGTTTAAGGCTAGTCAAGATTAAATTGCATGTTTGAGTGGTCTCAACTCAAAATAACTTTCAGTGAGATAAAATACATCAGTTTATTTTTTTTCTCCAGGTGCACACCAGTAATATATTTTACTAAGGCCATTTTTATAAATTTGGCTTAAATAGCCTAATTTAACTAAGGACTAGTCCCGGCTTAATCTAAGCCCTGTTTGTGAAACTGAGCCTCAAAGTTTCTTAAAAGAAATTATATTGTGTTCAAAGGGAAAAATTTCTTTCCCCTAGAGATTAAAAAGAATACATTTTAGAGCAGTAATCACAATACAGTGAAACTGTGATATTTATATCCAAGCTTATCATACCGTCAGAATCTTATACTGGCCCATGCCTAATGCTGCTTGATGTTGCAAAGTCATATTTTCTCATTTTATTGTTTTTCTTTGTATGAATAGTCATGAACACATTTGTTTGTAGAGCAAGTAGCCATTTATTATTCCAGGTCATTTCTCCGATAGGCAACTAAATTGGAGGTTCTAAAACAATAGCATATGAGATCAGGTCACTACTATGGCCCCATTTACACTAATGCGTTTTCGCATTTTTTTTTAATTGCGTTCGCATTCATCAAATTTGCTTAAACCATGTGTTCTTAAGTATGGCTATATTCCACAAGGATTCTGACAAAGCAACGTGAAGCACGCACTGTACAAAATTTCCGTTTAAGGGGGAAACACATCAAACTTAATAAATCATTTGAGCGCACATGGAATCATCTTAAAGGCAGACGAATGCAGATGTCTTGGACAGCTCACGACATCATCTGGCACTTTCGCTGAGTACATTTATATGGACACCAATACTCCCATTTTAATATGATTAATACTCTTATTAAGAGTCTACCATGTAAACAGTTGTTTTTTTATTACCTTAAAGGAACACCGAGTCACGAAATGCGGAATTTTTTCTTTCAGTTCGGTATGTGGTATCAATTTCTATTACAGCAAAAGTCTAAAGATTAAAAATGAAACGTACTAAATGAGATGAAATGCTGGAAAGCCTGGTAATGTAGCATTAATTCTTTTCATGAATTAATTTATATTAAAACGTTGCTTCTAAAAGTTCTTCTTTGGTCTTATGCATATTTATTTGCATGTTGAACACACGTCGACTACAACAGGAAATATAACAGCAACTGCGTTAATTTTTTTAACACAATATATATATCAAATTAATGGCATGAGTTTACGCTCTAATTTTGACAGCACTTTAAATAAACAAATGTTTTCAAAGGGCAACAAATGTTTTCAAAGGGAAAGCAGCAATATGCAGCAGTTTCGAGAGCAAATTAAAAATCCCACTGCTGGTGTGAGCACGGCTCTAGCCATTATTTTAAAGTTACTGTGCTGACGTAAAGTACATTTTAAATGTTACAGTGAGCCTGCAATGCATTAAGACTTTTCCTTGCAAGCTACAATTGGCAGAAACGCGTATTCTCTCTCTTGCGCACAAGTACATATTTCAATGTATTGTGACAAATATTTAACAATGTTAATAGGCCTAAATAATGGTCTATATTTTAAAATCTGCAGTTTTCTGTCAGCCCTCTTTCTTGCTTTGTTAAAAGCCATAGTTTTTGATTATGTTTAAATTATTATATATTTGAACCAGGCCCGGATTGGCTAATCGGGAGGACCGGGAGAATTCCCAGTGGGCCGGTCCATTTTTTGGCCACGAGGGCCGGTGTCCCTAGCTCCAGAATCTGTTGCTTAAAGCAGTCACACTTTTTAAATTAATGTATTTATTTACTTGACCACAGTCTTCTTATTCAATATTTTACCGCAGCTCTGCTCTTTTTATCTACTTTCTCGCAGCCTTTGTGATCAACATGCAGCCTGCAGGCTGATTATCAAGTAGCTGTTGTGGTTGAGTGGTTGGCACATTAGGTTTCAACACCACTGATCTGGGTTTGATCCTCGTCTGAGTAATGTTTTTTTTTTATTATTGTTAAGACATAAAATACTGTTGGGGTTGTTGAACATTTGAAGTTCTAAAGCAGCTGTTTTCTCAAAAAAGATGTGATAGTTTAAATAGAAACTGAATTAGAAATTACCTTATTTCAATATAGTCAGTCGTAAACTGAGGTGGGCCGGTCTGAGGCTTGAAACTCCAGGGCTGAAAAGGAGTCCCACTCCGGCCCTGATTTGAACTCAAAAATCAAATGCTATTCACTTGCTGTGAACATTGTGGGGTCTTGTTTCAGAGCTCTTTCTTTCATTGTAGTTGCCAGGGTAGCATACAACATAATCATAATGATGCATCTTTGATCGACCTTCAGGGTTTCATGACAGTAACGTGCACGAGTAGTTATCTAGATTATTTCAGCTGAACTCAGATTAGTTACATCAAATGATCTTCAACTTGCTGTTATGGAACCAATTAAAGTGTGGACATTTAGTTCGGCTCACTAAAGTCAAGTTTTTGACTTTAATCTCCGCTTTTTTAAACCACTTTTATGAAACAGCCCCTAGGGGTTATAAAATAATCCTGGGTGTTCATTAACAGACGTTTCACATTGGTAAACCCTGGGGTAACGCTTTTATTTGTATATTTACATTGTCACTGTTCCCGATTAGACAAACAGCAGGTAACCTTTTTAAATGGCATTTCTGCTTCTTGTCGGGTATATAAAATGTCACCATAGAGGTCTTCAGCTAAGCCTCCGGACATGCACAAAGGCAAGAAAACTGAGACAAAAGTACAAATGAATGAAAACAAGTAGCAAAGTATGTCATCTTGCCATATTCTCATCACTACAGTTAAAAGCAAATGTGGCATTAAGCATTTGCATAAGTTCATTCATTCATTTTCCTTTAGCTTAGTCTCTTTATTCATTAGGGGTCACCACAGCGGAATGAACCACCAACTTATCCAGCATATGTTTTAAACAGCGGATGCCCTTCCAGCTGCAACACAGTACAGGGAAACATTTGCATAAGTTATATACAATAATGCAAACTCACAAATATAAGCTGAATTATCCGTAATTGCTATGAACATGCAGGATTTGTCTCAACCAGGTCTTCCAAGCATGTTAAAAATGTTGAGTGGAAGATACACATGAGGGAACACAACAGGAGTAATCTAGACCGAGTGCATTTGATCATTTGCATTTAAAGCCACAGGCACAAAAAGAGCTGGGTTTTCCTCTGACCCCCAAAATGAAATATTCTGCAAGGTATATGATCTGATTTTGAGCTGAAACCCCAGACCCATTCTGGAAACATTAAAGACTTACTTTACATCCTGTAAAAAAAGGTTCATAATAGGAACCCTTTAAAGGGATAGTTAATGCAGAAATGAAAATAGCCTCACCATTTACTCTCCCTCGTGTGGCTTTAAATCTTTGAGTTTCTTGATTCTGCTGAACACAAAAGAAGTTATTGTGAAAAAAATGCTGGCTTACTTTGTGTTCCAGAAGAAAGAAAATATTTAAAAGACGCAGAGTAAATGGTGAGGTCATTTTAATTTTTGGGTGAAACATCCATTTCATGCTTGTCGCTTTGTGCCTTCATACTAAAGTTCACTTTTTTTTTTTTTTAAGACCTGATAGTGCTGAAGGAAGAGACTCAACAATGCAATAAAATGGAAGAGCAACACCAAGAAATAACAGCTGATGAAAAACCCACACTGACTGAAAAGACTTCATCACTCGGAAGACCTCGGAAATCCAAAACTGAGTGTAATTTTAGCTGTAAACAGCGTAGAAAGAGTTTCATTCAAAAGCTTAACCTTGGTGTTCACATGAGAGTTCACACTAGGGAGAAACCTTACACTTGCGAACAGTGTGGAAAGAGTTTTGGTAAAAAGAGAAGCTTAAAGACCCACATGAGAATTCACACTGGAGAGAGGCCGTACACATGCCAACAGTGTGGAAAGAGTTTTAAGCAAATTGGCACCCTTAAAGGCCACATGAGAATTCACACTGGAGAGAGGCCGTACACATGCCAACAATGTGGAAAGAGTTTTAAGCAAAGTGCCACCCTTAAAGGCCACATGAGAAGTCACACTGGAGAGAGGCCGTACACATGCCAACAGTGTGGACAAAGCTTCTATTATGCAGGAAACTTTGCAGCGCACAAGAGAATTCACACTGGAGAAAAGCCCTACACATGCCAACAGTGTGGAAAGAGTTTTAAGCAAAGTGGCACCCTTAAAGGCCACATGAGAACTCACAATGGAGGAAAAACACAGTGTGGGAAAAGTTTTGCTCAAAAACAAAAGCTTGACACCCACATGACGATCCACACTGAAGAGAAACCTTACACATGCACAGAGTGTGGTAAAAGTTTCACATGTAAAAGCTCACTCATTAACCACATGAAAACTCACACCAGAGAGAAGCTGTTTGCATGTAATCAGTGTGAAAAGAGCTTCACATGTAAAGCTAACCTCATGAACCACATGGATGGTCACTCTGGAATCATAGTGTTCATATGTGATCAGTGTGGAAAGAGTCTCACACGCAAAGACTACATTAAGCAACACATGAAGACTCACTCAAGAGAGGATCGTTTTAGATGCAGTGAGTGTGGAAAGAGCTTTAAACAAAAAATAAACCTCAGCGCTCACATGAAGCTTCACAATGCAGAGCAGAGTCCTCAACATTGAGACCTTGTCCACACAAACACGAGTATATTGAAAACGGCAGCTTTTTCATGTAGTTTGGCTGTTCATTGACATGAAGTTTATTTATAAACTACTTTCGAGAGGATCACATGCTTATTATTGTTCACGACTGGTCCAGCATTAGCTAACACGATTCACCAATCAGATGATTCCTGACGCCCTATAAAGGACAAGAGATTCTTACCTCTGTTATCTTTGTCGTTATCTTTTAGACTCCCTAAAGCCCTGTTCAGACTACACAATGCCATTTGTCAGTTACGACAGATGAGATTTGTTTCAGATTATGAGATTTTGACTTGATCAAATCTTGATGTGTTGTGGTTAACAAATGAAGACTTTGGTTTCAAAACACTACACATTTATTTTGATGGACTAATCTCAGAAAAGAAACAAGTTTTCTTCATGAAGACAATTAAACTTTCTATAGACAACTGCTCGCCTTTAAATATACGTTCATGTGAAAACTCCACCATTACTACAAATAAATCGTTGTATGAGAAACCCTGTGTCTCGATTGTGAATGAGAACATGAGTGATTTGTTAGCTTACATGCTAATTTCAGTACTCAAATGCAAATCTAAATGTATTTACGTGCATTTTTTTGTTTTTTAAGGGATAAAACAAAAAAAATTTCATCTTATTAAAAAAATATCAGGCAAAATATTCCCATAATTCTGATAAGTAGCCCAAACTGTGAACAAATGCAGATTTGAACTACTGCGCACATGTCAACGCAGATCGACTGATGAGCGTTTACACAAGCCACAGTCAAAACAAATGCAGAATCAAAACTTTTACAAATCCTGAATCAATATTGGAGTTAGTTTTGCACGCTGGAGGAAGGACGACACCATGGCTGAAGTATTACTGTTAGACAGGTAATGTTCTGTTTTAAAAATCTTTCAGTCATGCAGAGCTGATGTAGATTGGGTTGTTATGAATGGGTTATATGCACAGAAGTGTTGTTCAGCCACTGAAATCTGACGAACAAGTTATGTGACTATTTACAGTTTATAAGGGACCTTTTACAGCATCGATAATTCATTCATTCATTTTCTTGTTGGCTTATTCCCTTTATTAATCCAGGGTCACCACAGCGGAATGAACCGCCAACTTATCCAGCAAGTTTTTACGCAGCGGATGCCCTTGCAGCCGCAACCCATCTCTGGGAAACATCCTCACACACACACTCATACACTACAGACAATTTAGCTCACCCAATTCACCTTTACCACATTTCTTTGGACTGTGGGAGAAACCGGAGCACCCGGAGGAAACCCACGCAAAGGCAGGGAGAACATGCAAACTCCACACAGAAACGCCAACTGAGCCGAGGTTCGAACCAGCGACCTTCTTGCTATGAGGCAACAGCACTACATACTGCTCCACTGTCTCACCTCCTATCATTTAAAAAAATGTTTGCTCCCTTCTGTACTCCTTTCTCTTTTCTGCTCTGATCTGGATGTCCTAAAACAGGTATATGTTTTATTATCCAACATTATTGAAACATTTGATAGATCAGTGAGTTATAAAACAGGTTCATTACTTGAAATGTTGTGTAAAGCTGTTGTGCTGCAATATATTTTGAGTGTGTTTTAGGATTATTTATTTATTTAATAAAACATTGAGTTGATAGCCCATTTGAATGTCTTTATTATAGAGGTACATTTTACCTTCTCTGAAACAGTAATAACTATTAAGTAAATTATATAAATAAACTATGATTTAAAAAGATATTTTTTACCGAATAAGTAGTTGTTGAATTTAAATGTGACGTATTTTTTTACCCAATTAATATCTGTTTTTAATAACTTTTTACTTCAGGTAGTTAATACTCAAAATATGGGATTAAATCTACCCAACCAAAGTCTGTGAAAATTGTTACCTCAGATTTATTGGGTAAATTCTATAGATTGGTTTTTACAGTGAGGGTTGACACAATTTGAGGTTTACATGTTAAACTATGTTTATGTAACTCATGTTATGAGTTCAACAGAATGTCTCCCTCTTTCTTTTAAAATGTTTGTTGCTGTTATCCCTGATTCTCCGTCTTTTTGACCTGAGCAACCTATTTTATTATGTGTCCATTGCCTTTTTGTGGCAGCTGGAACTGATGCCTCTTCGTTTAAGTACACTCTAGTTCATTTTTATCCTTTAAAAAGAAGAAGAGTTATTCTTAGTGTGATTGGTAAACATAATGTGTTTTCTGCAATATTAGAGTAAATATAATTAGTAAATTATTATAAACATTTATTAAACATTTTTAATAAAATGAGGTATAAAAGCAAAATTGAAATCAGATAATACACTGCTGCCAATATTGTATTGGTCTATGTTATACAAGTATAATAATTACAATATTTTAAGTTATTAATGATGACTAATATATGTGTGTGGGTGTATTATTTGGCAAAATGCACTTGAGTAGACACATTAAAACAAACATTCTTTATAGACTTTTTTCTATAAGAAAATAAATTCATTGTTTGTGGAATAGTTGTGTTTTAATAAATCAGCTTTACAGGTTCATACAGATAGTCTATCATACTTAAAAAGACGCTTGTTTTTGCCACCTAGTGGCATAACAGTGTGGTTTGCATTATAAATGATAAAATTAATCATTCAGAAAAAAGATTTGAATCATTGAGAACTGAATCGCTTCACGTCGCAGATTCGAATGCTTGTCAGTCAACTGTCACCAACCGTCTTCTGAAGGTAAAGTACTTTTCTTAAGTTATTTTATTGTTAAAGTGCTCTATTTACTGCTCTGTTTTAACGTTAAATCAATAAATTGCTTTGTAACATCAAAACAAATGCTTATTTTATTTTTAAAGTCGAGATCATATTAGTAATTACTAGCACATTGCTAACGTAATATACCCAGACCTAACAATTTATACCTGTCAACATTATATTGTTAACTTGCTTAACGTACCTTCCAGAAACCCCTGAAGAGATGGAGGAGGAATTAGCTAACCCGTCTAAGCGGATAAGCACAGCAAAAATCCTCAACCAGGATGAAGAATAGGACAAGATTGGAACTGAAAAAGAAAAAGGAGCTCTGAAAGAGAAAAACGTAGCGTATTTATAAAAATCTTATTCTAAACCTCTAAATGTTACCTCATAGATTGGTGTGGTCTTCGTCTTCTTACTGAAACTTCCGCTTGTCAAATGAATCACTGGCAGTTCATTTTAATCACTCCAGTTTGCTATCTATCTGACAATGAATCAGATTATGGAGTCATTTTAGGTAAAGTCACGTCACTAATCGGTTTATTCGAACACTTTGTGTGCACGCACGACAGTTAGTATACAGAGTTTTAATTCTAATTGTACAAATAATTAAAAAAATATATTTTAAGTAGTTTTACGACATTAATTACCTTTAAAGTATTAACACTCATACATTTTGAATTCAGCTCGATTTATTTGTTAAAACTTTAAATATATTCAAATATAGGATATATAAATATTAAAGCAAAACCATCCATCGGGAACTATGATCTTTCATCTGTTTGACCATATAAGTCATTGATCCATTATCATGAATTGCATAGCAATTTAAAGAATTCAAACTTTTGTTAAAAGCATTGATTAGAATATATTATACAATTATCAAGTATTAAAAAAGTCTTCTAATGTCTAATCTTGCTTAGCATGGTTCCAAACTTGTATGTCTTTTTCCCATGAGGTTTCCCTCTACCTTTGTATATTTGACAATAAAGCATTTATTAAAAAAAAAGAAAGCTGGTGATTTTTTAGAATTCTGTACAGTTAATTAATTACATTTCTATCAATGATTTGTAGAAAACATTAAGGTTTTAAAAACCCTTCTAAAAATTCTAGAAGACAGAAAGGAAGAGAGAGGCCCCACTTTTTGAAATGGGTCCTCCCCAAAAAAAAAAAACACAGATGACAGAGATCACAGATTTTCTGACAGCGAAGATAAAGTAGTAACTCTTCTTCTTCAAGAAAATATAGATCAATGAAGACACAAAATCAAGAGCTTCAAGAAGAGCAAGAGAAATGCACAAACAAGTAAGAGTTTAATAATTAACAATTTCATTATTAAATAATAAAATATATATATATTTTTTTTCTTGAGCAGTAATTAATCAGGACAGTGGTCAGAAATGGCTTAACTGTACTATAATAAGAATAATAATAATAATATTAGAACATCAGTATTGGCGTTTAATACTCATATTATTTTTTTATTATTATTGTTATTATTAACGAGCCCCTTGTGTATCCCTAGGGAGTTGAGCCAGGTCCAGTCAATAATATGGTGATTTTGTCTGCGAGGCCCGAAGAGAGGAAACTTGCTGAAGGATTAAGGTGGGACACTTGTAAATTCTATTTTCAATTCTATTTTACATATATGTTTTTCAAACCAATGATTTAAAATAGCCCTGCTCTGTGAGATCTGTTTCTTTAAAGCAATTTTATTCTTAAATATTATAGATATGTGACTGCATCACAATGGGATAATTATCCATTCTTGTAAAAGTCACCACAACAGCTTTAAAAAAATACTTTAAACTCAAACTCAAGAAGATTAATATGGTTTTACATAAAATGTGAATAGGACAACAAATTTAGAACTAAGTAATTAAATCTTGATTAAGTACACTTTATAAAGGTGTCACCAGTGAGCTGTCTGATCTTTCAGTCCTTCAAGTGGCAGAAATTTACAAAGACTTTGCCAGTTCTACAGCCCCTTTAGTCACCACAATTGGGATGTCGAGTGAGGATTTTCGGGTGGATTCTGCCTTCGGAAAAATTCAAGTTGGAAGTGTCCTGTCACACCAACAGCCAGCTGCAACAAACCACAACATTGTTCCTAATCGTGATGCCCCACCAACACCACCACTGCCACTAGATGGTGACAGCCACCTGTCTGCTTGTTTGTTCATAATAATCAGGAACAACTTCACATGAGGTCATTGACCTTAACTTCAGAAATGGCTCACTATGTTGAGCAAGCCACCAGATATCAGAGTGCATGCCTTGATTGGCATTCTGTTAGGAAAATCCGGATAACATCGTCACGCTTTAGTAAGATGTCTGTCATGTGCATGGCCAGACCTCAGCTGAACACCTGGCCTAAAGAATGCACAAAATAACTCGCCAGACAGCCGACATGAAGCGAGGACTTCAAATGGAGTCTGAAACAGTTATGGAGTACTGCTTCCTCCGAGAGGTAAATTACCAGCCATGTGGATTTTTAATTCACCCTGATGCTCCTTGGCTGGGGTCCTCTCCAGATGGGATCATTTTTGACCACAACGAGCACCATGTTTTTGGCCTTCTATAAATAAAATGTCCCAACGTCAAAAGTTTTGTTGACTGTTCTTACCTCAAATTTCACAATGGCACACCAGAACTGAAACAGCAACATGCCTACACTGTTAACCCTTACTGTAGATTATGCAGTAAATAACTGTAAAATAGCCAGTGTTTTGCTGTATTAAAAGGAAACAGTATTTTACTGTAAAAGG